AAAATATTTGAAGTTTTAATAACTTTTTAATGAAATAAGATTTTTAATTAATTTTTGTGTGAAATGCTATATATAATTCGTGATATTACACAGAAAATATTAACTTCAAATCTGTGTCCAAGTACCTTTACAGTGTTTTGTGTCATTTTCTAATGTACAATTTAAAGAGAAAGAATAACAAAGAGTTCATACTTGGAAACACCTCCAAAAGACCGTTCAACAATGAAGGCAGACACTTTCTCCTTTGTTGCTCCAGTTTTCTCATCCTTAACAGGTGTCTATAATCATGAAAAGAGAAAAACAGGCATATTCTGGTAAACATGTGAGTAGTTTATCTGCATGATTTGAAGATTTTTATTTTGATTCAGGCAAACATACTTTAGCAAATACAGTAAAGATTTCTGCAAGGCCTCCATTACTAATCCAGATTTTACTACCATTCAGGATGTAGTGCTTGCCATCCGGGGAAAGAACTGCTTTGGTTTTAATAGACGGTAATTATAAGATACATACATGTATCTATTAATTACCACAGCATAGATATAAGAAACGATATGCTTAAAAAGTCATGTAATTTTTAATTTATCAATAAACAATTTATTGAGCCTTTGATGACAGAGTTTGATGAAGAGCTTACCCCGGCATCTGAGCCACTGCTTGGTTCTGTCAAACAAAAAGCAGCCATGTTTTTACCACATGCGAGGTCAGGAAGGTATTTGTCTTTCTGTTCTTGTGTTCCAAACAAAATGATTCCTTTGAAGCCTATAGACTGCAATGCAATAAAGACAGTATAAATATCATATCCTATCAAAGTCAAAAAGATAAAGTTTATCATGTGAGATTAGAAAGAATTTCTTACAGCATTTGATAATTTATTTCAAATCTGCCCTTCTAATGCTTCTATGTAATTTACCTGATGAGCACCCAATGTGATTCTAACACCAAGATCATGTGACCCAACAATTTCCACCAATCGAGCGTACTGGGTATTGGTCAGGCCGAGACCGCCTGTTGAAAGGAAAAAAACAAATATCTTTAAGTTGTCTTATGGTGTATAATTATACATGTACATGTTACTACATAAAGTTTATCAATGCTTTGATACAATTTTGAAACAATTTGAACTACACTATAGATTTCCCTTTGTAAATCATTTGAACAGATAAAATGACTTCTTTTTTCATGTATAGAGAACACATAAGTTTCCATTTAAATTTATCCTCTAGACTTATTATTTGTGACAGTTAGTCTAGATATTATGAATGTGTAAAAAACATTTTTCTTACCATTGTCTACAGGCACTTGCAGACCAAAGGCACCCATCTCCTTTAATCCCTCCATAACAGGCTCTTCCACTTTCTCAAGGCTATCATTTTTCAAAGGATCATTCACCTCCTGTAAATAATGGAAGCATTTCTCTTTTAGTTTATTACCATATTTATAAGAAAACATGATTTACAATTCCAAATGATCTATATTTTCAAAATGTGAAACTTTGAATTAGATCTGTCATATGTTCATTGAGAGATCAATTCATACCTCATAGAACTTGGCACATGGATCCACAAGCATCTTTAAGGTATCACTTTGTTCATTATCCAACACTAGAAAAAAGATAATTTATAGGTACATTTATGTTGCACAAACTAGAAAAGTAGACTTAACTTTTTGTAAGTGTTAATAATTTTCACTTTAATATAAAAACAAAAATTAATAGAAAATTTCGTTTTCAATCATTTTTACACATTGTACAAAGAACATGCTTACCCTCTGGGAAAGGAAAAACTTGATCTGTTTTTACAATGCCTCTGAAAATGTTCATGGCAAATGACTTTGACTCCTAAAATAAAAAAACGAAAAAGCTACATGTATAAAATTAAAAAAAAAAAGCATAAGAAGACCTGAATATTCATATCATATGGTTGACTTACAAAAAATCTTTATAATACTGAATATGTATTCAATGTGTCTATATTTTTCAAAATTATTTTTCAGAGCAGCACTTACAATGAGTTAGATATAGACATAATATAAAGTACAAATATTTAACAACAAACATCCATGCTAATTATTCGGAATGCCTCCATCTTTTCCTTACATTGAAATTATTCTTTTATTCTAATTTCAGGTGCTTTAATATAAACATACAGTAGATAAATAATAAAAACATTTTTTTCTGCACATATATTCACCTATGATTTAAATTGATAGTTTTATAACATGATTTTAATTGCCGTAAAACATGTGTATTTGTTATTTGTAGTTTAAATATAAAATTAATCTATTTATATATATAGTAAATATGCTTATCTTTTCACTAATAAAATAACGTGGACATTAGAAGATAAAACTACTACTTATAGAATGAATTAATTACATTGTACGCGGTTGAATTAACCATACATGTATTTCTGTGCCAAGGCAACTCTGAGTAAAATAACAGATTTTTTTTTGAATTCACAATTGTCTGTTGACGTATTGCATAAAACCTCTCATTTTTTAAAAATTCTAATGTAAAATATTCTAAGTTATGTGTCTTGTATTCTTTTATGATGATTATTTTAGGTAACTTCTACATGTATATGTAAACATTTCCTGGCCGTGATTATACTCGGCAAGATGATGAAAAGTAAGAGGCATTCAAAAATTATTTGTAGTAGATTAAATTTTCAAAGCTAAACAAGTAATGTGCTGTCACAGTTTTTATTGAACAGAAATATGTACGAGAGAGAGAGAGAGAGACACCCTAAAATCTCGGATATTATTTTTCCTAAATATTCCAAGCAGTAAAGGTAATATTTTTTAAGATTAACAAATCCATTTGACAGTAATCACTGGCTTTTATTTTCCGGCATCAAGTTCACACGGTTCACAGGAAGTCCACGTGTGTTTGTCCTGTCAATTGGACATCATTGGACACAGTGTAGGTGTGGAAATCACGTTTCACCGAACATGCTGAAGGCAGTCACTTAGTATTTCCAAGACGTTTTAATATTTTTCCCTATAATTTTTAGATCTGATTTTTGCATTCCTGCAGAAATAAAAATAATAAGGGAATATATACTTGGAAGGATTACGTTTAAAATTGAGTTTGAAACATATTCCCTGCAAATTTAAAATACTACTGTCGGCACAAGTGTATTCTAAAATACTATTGTTTAATGACTGCTTGATGTTGGTTTTAAGACTGTAAGTGTTTTTCTTGTGGTACAATACACATTAAGCACGTATTAGTTAAATACTGAAAATACTAAGAATTTTATTTCGAGAGAAAAGCACCGAGGGTGGGGGAACTTAATATTATACTGTTATACTGAATGGCAAACATATATTTAGGTATGGCCCTTAAGGGCTTATAATTTTCCTTCTCTAATAATAGACTTTTTTAAACAGTTGGTCTTTTCTAAAATTTAAAATCACGCTATCAATTTAATTAGCTCTAAAGATATTTCATTAAGTGAATATTTGCAGTACTATTCATAATTCTCAGACCTACGTGTAGTTTAAAATACGTGTTACTGTAGAAATAATTTTTTTGTGTATTCTTGTCTTGTAATAGACTTGGATTAATTATTAAACATGCATTAATGATTTGTCGTCTTTAACATTGCAACAAATTGTTGCCGTGCGTGAAGCATTTGTACACTGCCCTTTTTTAAATTTAATATTTTAGCATCGTTCTACATATATGTAGGTACTTAATGTATTATTTTCCAGGGAAATTTCATGAATAAAGTAAAAATATAAATATCATAGATAATTTTTGCAATGAAATAATTATTCTTCAAACACGATATCTAAGTTATTTAATTAATAAACTGTAAATCCTTACCATCAAAAAGATAAGTCCTTTCACTCCGGAGTTCCGAATAAAAATGAAGACTGAACGATATGTGAATGGTGAACGCAAGGTGAACACAAAGTAAACGGAACGAAGAGCGAACGGTGAACGCAATACTGTGAACGGAGAGCGAACGGTGAACGCACACTGAAGGAACGGTGAGCGAGCGGAAAAATGGGAAAGTAGAACGTTTCAGGGACTGTATATCTTGAAATATGATGTATTATGCATCCTTTTCCTTATGAAAACTTACTTAATGACAATTAAAAATAATTAATGAAGTCATCTTGGAATTAACCAATGTCTGGAACTGTCTTTTTCAATTTTCTAATATTCCCAAATCGTCATCATGGTCATAGTAGTATGGCAGGGTCTCAACACACTGTTCTACAATACAAAGAAACTTTACCTGGGCTTTGCCCGGTGAAGCCTTTCCCTCATCTGTCTTCTTCTGAGCTGCTGCTGAACTTGCATATCTAATCAAATTTAAAATAAACACTAAATTCAGTGAAATATATATTGCATAATTGCATATTTTTAGTGTTTGGTATCTTTTTTTTCTTATACTAGAAATTCCGCATTTTATATGTTTTCTACAAATTACTCATATATCAAACTCTACTAAACAATACAAGAAAAAAACTTTAATTATTCAGATATAAATAGCTAAAATGGAAGTTTATGGAAATGAGTAAGTTCGAGTCCAAAGTCCAGAGGATGTCAAACTACGTTTCTTTGAGCTACAATCATATTTTAAAATCAAATCAAAAGTTTCAAGAGTTATTCTATAACTGCTAAGTTTCCTTGAATTCATCTTCTACCAAGAGCAGAGAAAAATGCAGAGGTTCTCAACATTTTGTCGTCAAGTGTTCACTTCTACAACCCTTGGCTAGCAGTAGTCAATGTGGATGTTTACGAAAGAGGTCTATCAACGTCCGGTTTGTAGGACAATGAAGGCGCATGCGTTAAACTGAAGAGGAGGGGGGTAATGAAAATTAAAAGCAATTTCCTGCATCAAATATGTGAAAAATAAGATAGATCCAAAAATTTTGTCTTCAATACTTTATACAATGAACAATTAAATCAATTGATCGTAAAGCTGTAATATTTTTTTTCATTTTTCAATCGGGATCGCTATACAAATCACTTCTTCTTGGTGCAAAAATGGCTGGAAGTTCATCAGCACCATCGTCAACTGTTGAGCGATTGAAACAACTAGAGGCGGTTGAGGGTGATATAGTCAATGCTATTCAGAGTGCAGGTGCTGTCCAAAAAATATTTGTTGCGAATTTGTTTAAACTTTTTACAGGCAAAAATAGTGCAGAAAAAATTCGGGAAACAGTCCTAAATTTTATGTTTCAGCAGCAGTTAAGTGTATTTCATGTTAACAGTAATAATTGTGTGCACATTTTTACTGTGTTATATTTCAAGTGTTTCATTAATTAATATTTAGGATCTGCTCTTCAAGAGTTATCGAAAGACAAACCAGTGATGAAAAATGTTGAATCTCACACCACTACTTTCATCAAAACCCTAGTAGATGTAGAGAAGAAGTTAACAGGACATATCAACTACCTAACACAAGTTTCTACAGGTAAATTTGCTTCAGTTTTAGTACACAGTAAGCATGAAAGAGGCTGACATCATAGGAACGTTTCGCATTTGAGTCGATATGTTGCTCTGAAACAGATTTGTTCTATGGTCACAAAACAGTTTCTGGTCTATTACGTTGACTATAATGTCATAATTTTTATTTTTAAAAGAATTTTCATATGTCTTGAATTCTCTTCCTGAAGAGAATTTTAATTACTGTATACAGGGTTTTTTTCGCCCCATGTTATTTTCGCCCTTTAGAACTTGTGAACAATTTTGCCCCGTTTAAAATTCGCCCAGTCATAGTTCTGTTTAAGAAATTATGAGGTGTAATTTGAATTCGCTCCGTTTTAAATTCGCCCAATCAAGGAAAGGGCGAAAGGGGCGAAAATATAACGGGGGCGAAAATTTCCCTGTATACAGTATTCATGGCATACTGAAAATACTATTTCCATTAGAGTTATCTGTCTCTATATTTTTTCTTTAATTAGTATTATATGCATGTTCTTTGACAAATTTGTTTAAAATTTACAACAGGTATATAATATTCTTTGTTATTTTGTTGAGATTTACCAATTAGCATCGATACTTGTATTCACAGAGGACATCAAGAGGGTACTATGTTTTAACCC